GTTTTTAAAGGTGAAATGTGGAGGGAAAATCAAAAGTAGTTAAAAATGGCCAGTTACACCCTGGACTCCAGAGGGTTAAACATTTTTCTTCAAAGTAACACAATAGTTACTTTTCAAGTAATTAATTACTTTTAGAATATTGTAACTCAGTTACTAACTCAGTTACTTTTTTTGAAGAAGTAACTAGTAACTATAATTAATTACTTTTTCAAAGTAACTTGCCCAACACTGTGAATTACAGGGACATGGGTAAACATGCATGGATTTAAGGTAGTAAATGTAGATGAGTTTAAATTCCAGGGGTCAACCATCCAAAGCAACTAGCACAGTGCACAAAAGAGGAGTAAAAGAGAGTGCAGGCAGAGTGGATGAAGGGGTTAGGGTTGATTTGCGTCAGAAGGATGCAAGAGTGAAAGGGAAGGTTTACAAGATGGTAGTGAGACCATCTGCTATGATGTATAGTTTGGAGACAGTGGCACAACTAAAATGACAGGAGGAAGACCCAGGATGGACAAGAGTAGCAATGAGTAGATCAGGACAGCTCAGGTTGCTTAATTTGAAGAAAAGGTTTGAGAAGCTCGGCTGAGATGCTTTGGACATGTGCAGAGAAGGGATGGTAGATATATTGGACAAAGGATGCTGATGAAGCCACCAGTCAGGAAGAAGACCACAGAGAAGATTCATGGATCTAGTAAAGAAGGGCACACAGAGGGATCGTAGTGATACGGTGAGATGGAGGCATGATTCTGTGTGGCGACCCCTCTCTGTGTGAGGATCTAAACGTATTCTACGCCAGATTCGACACAGCGAACACCATGAGACCGGACAGTGTGCGCACCGCGGATGACGTCAGCGCGCACACTGTGTCTGAGGAGGATGTGCGGAAGTGCTTCAGGAAGGTGAACACGCGCAAAGCTACTGGTCCGGTCCTGGTCCTCAGGTCATGCGTGGCTCAGCTGGCTGGAGTGTTCACACACATCTTCAACCTTTCCCTCTCTCTGTCTGTAGTCCCAGCCTGCTTCAAAATGGCCACCATCGTC